GTCATACATTGAAATGAATTAGCCATGGATTTACATGTATTCCCCATCCCGGTCCCCCCTCCCACCTCCCTCTCCACCCGATCCCTCTGGGTCTTCCCAGTGCACCAGGCCCGAGCACTTGTCTCATGCACCCAACCTGGGCTGGTGATCTGTTTCACCCTAGATAATATACATGTTTCAATGCTGTTCTCTTGAAACATCCCACCTTCTCCCAGAGTCCACAAGTCTGTTCTATACATCTTAGTAAGCCAGAAAGATAAAGACCATTACAGTATACTAACACATATATATGGAATTTAGAAAGATGGTAACGAGAACCCTATATGCAAATCAGGGCTCATTTTATCTCAGAGTATAACACCATTGTCTTACTCCTGGCCAGTTCAAGCTTTCATTTCAGGTGGACTGCTTTTCTTTTGTATTTTTACTCTCTAAATGAGTAAAATTATATAAAGTAAACAAAAAATTTTCAGTTTACTTAGACCCTTGTATCTCAAGTGATGTCTAATGATACCCTCTGTTATGTAAACTGGGTAAGGGGCCAGAGTTCCTCGTAATTTTTCAGCTGTTTATGACACCATGGCTTCCCAGGTGGCTCAGTGGTAAAGAATCCGCCTGCAAGTGCAGGAGGCTCAAGAGACATGGGTTTTATCCCAGGGTCCCTGACCTAGGAAATGGCAACCCACTCAAGTATTTGCCTGGAAAAATTCCATGGACAGCAGCCTGGCACGCTACAGCCCATGGAGTTGCAAAGAGTCCGACAGTACTGAGTGACTGACCGATGAGAATGATGGAACTATACTCTTTGAAGAACAGGTGGGTACACATTCTTTGGGGGAATTGCTGCCAGGAGGAAGTTTGTTTTGACATTATATGAATCTTTACATTCCAATATAGTTAAGGAAGCCTATAGTGGATGGCCCACATCCCCCTATGCTCACCAACACTCTCTGTGCCCCAGGGGAAACCCATCTGTATTCTTAAGGTAACAGATTAGCTCCAGACACAAACAGAACTGAAAACTGTTCACCTCTAGACCTGAAAAGATAGTTCTCAAAAGCAGGTACTTACTATTTTCTTACTTCCTATACTAAACATATATTCATTAGTAATTTCATATAACAAAGATTTTTAAAAGCAGATTCATTGACAGTAGGAAAGCATTTTGAGGAATAAAATACCTTTAGAAACTCAAATTTCTCCTTTCTCTATTTTTTAAAGATTTGTCCCACATTTATGTCCAAAATATATGCTTCTTTTCCATTAACATTAAATATTTATCATGATATGAAAACACGACAGTGTATTAGAATGTCTAAGTTACATTTTAAAATCGTTAGAAAAAGCAAAAAGGTTGTGGTTGCTCCCTTTATGTAAGTGGAGATAGAAGAAAGCTCTTTAGAAATTACTAAACTGCTTAAACTTAGTATTTTCAAATACAGTGATAGAGAGTTTGGTTTCAGTATGAAATCATGGTTCACTTCTGTTTCCTGAAGAAAATAACTGAGAGTTGTGGGCCATAATATCTTGACCCATTTAGAGAAACCCATCTGTTAGAATAGCATGAATCTCTCTGCAAGTCACTATCTCAATTGAGGGAAAATATGACAAAGCAATCAGGATGATCAAATAAAACATGAAAGGTGATTTCTCAGATTCAATCAGAAGAGGATATAAAAATACTTGTTCAGGTAGGAACTAATTCATGTCTGACTCATTTTGCTCTCCAACAAGGTAATTATTTGATATCCCATTATTGAGCATTCACTGTTTTCAAAGAACTACTAAGAAAACAAAGACCTAGCTTTGGTCTTTCTTCTCAGAATTTCACTTGAAGAGAAAGGCT